GTACCCAATACCGATTATTAGTTTTGGACTTTAAGATAAAGGGGCATATAATAAAAAATAAAGTAAAACGATTTTCTAGAATTAGATGGGGGCATTTAAAGAATATTAACAAAAATATTTTTAAGAATAAGATTTTAGATATTAAGATTTTGTCTGTGCATGAGGATGTTAATGTTATGTGGGAAAAAGTGGCTAGTGATATTAAGAATATTGCAAAAGATGTTCTTGGAGTATCAAAAGGAAAAGCTCCTAATAGTAAAAATAGTTGGTGGTGGAATCCAAATGTGCAAGAAAAGATTAAAAATAAGAAGTTTTGTTATAAGAATTGGTTTAATTTTAAAAATTCTGATAATTGAGAAATATATAAAGTGGCTCGTAAGAATGCTAAGAGTAAGAATGCTAAGAAAATAATATGCGATGCAAAGACATTAACTTTTAGTGATTTATATAATAGATTAGATACTAAAGAGGGAGAAAGATATATGTATAAGTTAGCCAAACAAAGAGATATGAGTAGTAAGGATTTAATTCAAGTGAAGTGTATTAAGGATGAAGATCAAAAATACTTTTCTTAGAAGATGATATTCAACAAAGGTGGATGAGATATTTTGCTAAACTTTTTAATGAAGATTGCAAAAATAAGATTGACTATAGTGACCTTAGCGCCCTAAATGAAAATAAAGATTTCTGTTTTTATCGGCGTATTAGTAAAACCAAAGTTAGAGAGGCTTTAAAGAAAATGAAGGGTGAAAAAGTTGTTGGACCTGATGATATTTCAATAGAGGTGTGGAAATGCTTAGGAGATGAAGGAATTTCATGGCTTACTAAACTTTTTAATACTATTTTGAAGACTAAGAAGATGCCAGATGAGTGGAGAATGAGTGTGTTAATTCCTATTTTTAAGAATAAAGGTGATGCACAAGATTGTGCGAATTATAGAGGTATTAAGTTAATGTGTCATACTTTAAAACTATGGGAGCGAGTTATGGAGCATAGGTTGCGGCGTGATACTAATGTTTCTCAAAATCAATTTGGATTCATGTCGGGTAGGTCGACTATGGAAGCCATACATTTATTCAGAGGTTTGATGGAAAAATATAGAGGAAATAAGGAGGATCTACATATGATATTTATTGATTTAGAAAAAGCATATGATAAAGTTCCAAGAGAAGTGCTATGGAGAGTTCTTGAAAAGAAAGGAGTCAATAATGCTTATATTCAAATCATTAAAGATATGTATGCAGGAGCTATTACTTGTGTTCAAACACAAGGTGGATTGACCAAGTATTTCCCTATTTCGGTTGGGTTACATCAAGGATCAGCCTTAAGCCCATATCTTTTTGCTTTAGTCATGGATGTTCTCACTATACATTTGCAAGATGATGTACCTTGGTGTATGCTTTTTGCTGATGATATTCTTCTTGTTGATAAGACTAGAGAGGGAGTTGAAGGTAAACTTGAATTATGGAGGTCAACCTTAGAGTCTAAAGGTTTTCGCTTGAGTAGATCTAAAACGGAATATATGGAGTGTAATTTTAGTAGTAATAGACCTAGTGAGGGGATTGTGACTTTGGGCGATCAAGTCATTAATAGGAGTACACGTTTTAGATATCTTGGATCTAGTGTTCTGAGTGATGGTGAAATAGATGGGGATATTATCAGCAGAATTCAAGTTGGATGGTTGAAGTGGAGGAATGCATCGGGATTATTATGTGATAGAAATGTACCCCTCAAACTTAAGGGAAAATTCTATAAGATGGTAGTGAGGCCTACAATGCTTTATGGTGCCGAATGTTGGCCATTAAAAGAGAAGCATAATACTAAGTGTGGCAGAGATAAGGATGCTCAGGTGGATGAGTGGCTTTACCCTTAGAGATAGGATACGAAATGAGCATATACGTGAAAAGGTTGGAGTAGCTCCAGTAGAAGATAAGATTAGAGAGTGTCGCCTTAGATGGTTTGGTCACATAAAACGGCGGCCTTCCGATGAACCGGTTAGGAGAGTAGAGGTATTAGATTTGACTTATGTTAAGAATGGTAGGGGTAGACCTAAAAAGACTTGGTTAGAAAATATTATGAATGACCTTTCTTTATTAAATTTAAACGAGAATTTGACTTTTAATAGGACAGAATGGAGAAAAAGGATTCATGTAGCCGACCCCACGTAGTGGGATAAAGGCTTGATGTTGTTGTTATTGTATATAACATAACTAAAGCATCTCCAAACATATAGAAAGAGCTACTAAATATTCCAAGTAAAATTTTCATTTTTTTTCTTTTCCTCTATAATTCAATGATATCAAAATATACATAAAGGTTCAATACATAGATGGATATAAAAAAAAAAATATACCTATTACATGTCATCCTGAATCCATCTAACACAAAATATAAAAAAAAAACCCAATAAGGAATCTGTCCCCCGTCGTCTCCCTACGATGGTAAGTAAAATGTGGTTTATTTGTCATTATCGCTTAACAGGTTCTCCTGAAAAATGTTCTATAAGTTTGATGAGTCATAACTCAGTAAATAAAATAATATTAAATTAAATTTAGAGGCAAGAGGAGTACAACATGTATATATTTCCAAGTAAAGAAACAATCAACATGCTATGATATATCAACTAAAGTAAAAATGCCTCTAAGTCAATTTATATGTTCTCTTTCTTTGCATAAACTTGCAACCCTTTTTCATTAAGCATTCATGATTCATTTGATACCTTTTATACCTATAACAGAATGACATATATCATAGTAACATAATCTTAGGCACCTGTCATAGAAGTATCGTTTATTTTATACTGATCAGGTACACTTTTTAATTGGCCATTCTTTTACCATTTGACTATCAATAACCCCTTTCATTGTCTCAAAAGAGCCCCTTTACTATTGGCTCAAAAGAACCCCTTTACCATTGATATTCTGCATCAAACATACACATGCAAGCATTCTATATTTATTCATAAAATGGACTTTAACATGTTATTCGTGCTTATGGTCTAATGTTTCCATATATTGCTACATGATTGCATAATTTCATAAGAAAGGAGACATGATTACATATGCATTACATATAAAAGGAGACATAAACTTTGTACTTTCTATAATCATCACATAAGAGATATACATTTGCATTATGTATTCTAAAGTATTTATGTAAGAATATGCTACGCTACATATGAAGGTACAATTTGCATTTAAAAGATAAACTAATCACATGAGATTATAAGACCATGATATCTTTCGAAAAGAGAAGGATTTTCCAAATTTAAAAGAACTACATTTTACCTACCTCACCGTGGTGTGTGACTTGTCGATTGCCCTAACTAATTCCTCCCTTTACATGTTCAATATCTAAAAGAAACATAACTAAATGTGTAAATGTCATATGCTTCCACATAAATTTTCTTAATTCCCTAAACTATGAGAATAAAGAACGTACCCATACATTTTTCTTAAACTTTCTAATTTAACCCTTTCCCAACTCAAAATTAGTTTTATTTCTAATTTCTCTAAATTTGGTATTTCATCAAAACCTTAACTTTTGGGAACCCTCTTTTGTCCGTTACATTACACATGCTTAAGGAAACCTCCCATACACTTAACACTTAAGAAAAATATAATTAATTTTTAGATTAATCTAAATTAAAATTATAGAAAATAGCATTTTGTGTAAAAATCCTAAATTTCACCTCTAGTCCAATTAGAACCATAATACTTAAGGGTTTTCATGATTAGCGAAAAGTCATAATTTTTAAAACTTGAATTTGTTCATAAAAATTAAATTAACTTCCAATAGAGGCTCTCTAATGCCATTAGGATTCATTCTTACAGAGGTATTTTGAAAGAAAAAAAGAATTGAATGGAACCCTAATTTTCAAAACCCAAAATTTTTGTGGAAAACTAAAAATTTCATGATTAGAAGCTTTCTTCCCTCATTTCCTAACATTCTTCTTCAAAATTTTAGTGTTTTGGACAAACTCTAAAACTTTCATCCAAAAAAATCTCAAGAAAATGAAGGGAGTTTTATGTATAAAGCTTATCTTACTCCTTGAACTTTCCCCTTCACTTTCCCCCAAATGCACGCCGGAAATTGCCGACTGCCTCCGAAGCTCCAAGCCGCCCGTCTCACATCCGCTCCCTCCTGTTCTCTCTCTTGCTTGGCCGAACTAAACAATAAGAGAGAAAAAGCCTACCAAAAGACGCATGTACCACTTCTACTTAATATTTTCGTAACGCTTCATGAGGGGTAGAATTGGCAAAAACGGTTAAAGTTTACTTAAACAAATTTCGACGATTTTTAGTTTTAAAATCGTGCGAAATTAGGTATATGTTCTTTATACCGTTTCAATCGAAATTTCACATAAAATTTTATAAAATTTATTGCGTAGAATTCCGACGACTTTGAAATTTTGCCTAATTTAGTCGCGGCGCATCGAAATTCGTGCGACGCCGATGAGTGATATTTTTTTTTGGGATTTACAATGAACATGGTACCAAGTCAATATGTTATTGTATACCTCTCAACTGTGATAACTTCTTACGGTAAGTCTGTAGGAGTAATATCACTGTACTCAAACAGAAGGGTGAGATCACAACAAGTATATGATATTCAACTGAATCATGTATAACATCCTCCAATGAAATGAATGAAGGTAAGGTCAGTAAATTCTCTTCTGGAACTATCTAATCATACTCTCTCGACTCTCTACTCAAGCGTCCATGTTTTGGATTTTAGTCAACTAAACATCATTAAAATATTCTCTCCTTTTCCTTTTGTGAGAATGCTCTTTTATCTTTATTTGCAAGTTTTCATTTTAGTTTTAGGCACATCGAATGATTAAAGATTGTAATGCAAACAAGCCTTAAGAGATCAAGCAATTGCTCATCTTTCTAGTCATAATGTTATAATGTCCAATTATTTTGAGGTTTCCAGCCTTTTCTTTTTTCTTTTTTTACGACGGAGGCTTCCTTGTGATCTCAATTTCATTTTTTCTTCAGCTCAACAGCCAAGATAAGAAGTGAAGTACTCTCACCCTTCCGTTCTGTCCGAATGTTCTTTTATATTGCTTTCATTGCAAGTGGTGCTTTAGGAGGACTAATCACCATCACACGATTAATTTCTTCTCTTGCGAATCCATCAAAAACATTGCTACTGCCTGAGATTTTAAAGGATCTTAGCATAGATCTAGGTGCAGTTTTTCTTTTCTATTTTCTGTACGCGAGGGAGAACGAAGCAAAGAATGTTCAGTTGGCCAAGCTATTCAGAGAGGAAAGCCTCTCACAACTTAAGCTACGCATTGACCAGAAGAAGATAGTTCCTATCAATGATCTGAGGGGAATTGCACGCCTAGTCATCCTTGCTGGCCCTGCTGCATACATTAACGAGTCCTTCAAGCTTAGTGAAGCATTTACTGAGGGCCTTCTTGAACGAGGAGTGTTAGTGGTTCCCTTTGCCACTGATAAGAGCAAACTTGAATTTGAATCAGTAGATTGTAAAGAGCAGTTTCCTATTGATGAAAAAAGGAAGAAGCTCTGGCAGCTGAGGCCTGTTAATGTTGCAGAATGGAGCAAGTGAGAACCTGTTTAAAGCATTTTTTTGTTTTCATTCTTATCATTTAACTTTTCTCTGTGCTTTTTTCTGCAGTTGGATAGATGAACAGAAGAAATTGGCTACTGTTTCGCTTGATTCTCCTGTGTGAGTATCGAACCTCTTTATGCTCCATTCATCCTCGAGTTTTGAAGGAGTATTCATGGTTATCATTAACCATATATTACGAAAGTTGAAACTGAAAGATACCAGCTTTTTTAGATATGTTATTGCTCAAGGAAATGATGCCAATTGTCAAGTTTTCTTACATGCTATGCTGGAGTTTGCTTATACACGCATGCGAAATACTAGGTTTATAAAATTTCATGATAACATTATGTCGGCTTTTGTGATTCTGCCTCAGCAGGTTTTACTTATCAATTATTTGCTGATGCATTTTTTTATTTTCTTTCCATTTTCCCATGATGAAGATATCTCTCACTACGTATGGATGGTCGAGTTCGTGGGAGTGGTGTTGGTTATCCTCCTTGGAATGCTTTTGTTGCTCAACTACCTCCAGTGAAGGGGCTCTGGTCAGGAATTCTTGATGGGATGGATGGAAGAGTATTGTAAGAATATGCATTTATATTGTAAGCGGCTTACTGGTTGTGCTCTTTGTTCTCTTGACTTCAGCTGCATCCTTGTCTTTTATGTTTGATCCATGCTTAGATTCTACTCAAGTGCTATCAGCTAGTAGTTTTTCCATGTTGAGTCCTTTATTTGAAACCATTCCAAAACTTATGTTCTATGTTCATAATAGGAATCACAGAAGTATATGTAGGACTTCTGTTGGAGCGCTGTAGTTCTTAAACTAGGAGAAGAGGTTCATGGAGTAATGCCAAAGCCTAAAAGGAACATAGCATGAATATGAAGCCTAAAGTTATTTTTGAGAAGTACTTAACATTTCTAAAGATTAGCTAACTACATGAAGTTGTGCATGTTGTTCCATAATTATTTGCATTTAGATGGTTCTGATAGGCCTCATTCATTACTTAGTTGCTGTCTTTTTAAGTTTTTTAACACACAACTATCCCTTCTTGAACACGAGGGATTCATGTAAAACTTGCTTATCATTGATCTAGCAAAATAATTTCTTCAGAATGAGCCTTTTAGGGTGCGTTTGGGACGGCTGCAGCTGTCAGTAAAGCAGGTTGTGAAATTGTTGTATATAAAGTTGTTTTTTAAAGTTGTTGTATAGAAATCAGTCAATTTTGTTTGGGTAGTATTACTGTCGAACTGCTGTGCTGCTGCTGTTTGACAACAAATTACCTTGTTACCCTTATATATGAAGATGAATAAAATTTGTTCAATTCCTTCAATTCAATCAAAAGAAGCCGGTCTTAAGGAATTTCTTGAGCTAAATTATTTTTTTTATTGAATTTTATTTAATTTTCTGCACTTATTTCACTACAGGAAAATCACCCATTTCCGGCGGCCTTTTCCGGCGGTAATTGAACCTTTTCCGGCGGTTTTGTAGTTTTCAGGCGGTTTAATTACCGCCGGTAAAAACGGCGTAGGAAAATGAATTCCGGCGGTTTTGTCCGGCGGCTTACCGGCGGTCTTGAACCGCCGGTCAAAAATATTTAATAAAATATAAAAAATAACTAACTAATTAATTTTAAGATGAAAATTAAGTTAATAGTTATTTTAACTTTTAATAATTTTTTGTTAAATCATTTAAATGTTTAAAATTTTATTCATTTTTTTATTAAATTTTTAAAAGCCGCCGGAAACGTTAAAAAGCCGCCAGAAAAGCCGTCGGAAAGCCGCCGAAAAAGTCCGCGGGAAAATTTTGCGGTAAATTAGCCGTCGCAAAATTTTGCGGGGAAATTAGCCGTCGGAAAGCCGCCGGTAATCCGTCGGAAAGCCGCCGGAAAATTTTGTAGGAAATAAGCCGTCAAAAACCGCTGGAAAGCCGCCGGAAAACTGACCGCCGGAAAGCTGCCGGAAAATTCTGCTGGTAATAAGTGATTTTCCTGTAGTGTTTACAATCAAAGCAAACAAATTCTTCGTCATCTCACAATTTCATTAAAAGATTTATCTGTTGAAAATAAGAAACTTATGAACAAATCTTGATGAAAAATTAAACGATCAGAAGTTGTTATTAAAAAAAATTAAAATTAGATTTCTGCCCCTTCTAAAATAATTAACAGTTTCTTTTAATCACCTATGGTCACTCATCGCCGGCCTGCTTCCAGAGAGAACAGACAATGAAATCAAGAACTACTGGAACACACACATCAAGCGGAAGCTCTTCAGCCGCGGCATCGATCCCCAAACTCATCATCCCATCACCGCGGCGACCGCCGCTTTTCTAACTTTGCCGGAGATTTTTTCACCCGTGCTGGAAACCGCCGATACATCCGATAACAAGTGTCACAGTGATAGCTGCTCTGGCGGCGGCAGTCCAAACTACGTTGACCTCAACCTCGACTTGTCAACGAACAAGCCTCCTCTTTTGAAGAAGTTGGTGCTCGCCAGAGACCCTCAAAGTAGTCGCTGGCGGTAGAAGGAGCGACAAATTTCCGCGAGCCTGCGAGGAGCTCTTCCACCCCTGAGCCTTTTTTTTCACAGCAACACCGACATTTTCAATATTCCTAGTTAATCACCACAACTACTGTCGCCGACTAGCCTCCTACAGATTTTGGGATGGAAGAAGAGGCCATGAATTGGTTCCATGGAGCTCATGATAAGTGAAGGAAATATCTTCAGGCGCAAAAAGCAAGAAATTTTACGAAGCCAGTGAAAGGAAGATAAAGAAACCTGTAATAGCATATAATTATTTGACTTCGGTTTTGCATATAAATGAGTAGAAGTGAAAGGAAGTCTCCTCGCCACTGACACCGTCAACAGCGAGGTCCGCGATGGAGACGCCATGTGCCCGGCGAAGAAACGTATACAGCACCTGACACCGCGTTTTTACCGAAGAAGCCATCAATGCGGATGAGGGAGCGTAAAGCGTGGCGAAGGCTGGGAGGCAGGAGATATGGTGAAAAGGAAAAAGAGGAGCGATGGAGACGCCATGTGCCCGGCGGAGATTTAAGTCATTTTTCCGCGGAAAGCAGCCGAAAGCAGCGGAACGCAGGACATGGGGAAAGGTCGCGAGAAGCAGGTGTGTGCCGTGAAACTTTTTCTGACGTCGTTCTGCCGCAATCCCCCAAACGACAATTTAATAACTTTTTATAAAGCAAAGCAACTGTACCGCCGTCCCAAACGCACCCTTAATGGCTGTTTAACGTTGACAGTTTCTCAGAAGATAACATTGACTTACAAACCAATTCTGCGGTTGTAGAGATAATCCTAAGATTTAATGGTAGTCCTAGTTTCTTTCATTATATGTAGTGTTACAGATTTCATTCACACAGATCTGCGTTTATTCCATTAAGGTATTTAAGAAGGCCATGATTTTAAATTGTCAAATTTCCTTTCAAGCAAGATGATCCTTTATATTATCAAGGCTAACACATCAAAACCTCCTTAGATCTAATTTACCGACCAAAGCGATGCATCAATATTCATGCTTGGTTGAGCTTTTTAGAGTTTTCCTCATTATTTTTTTTAATTTTTTAATCAAGCTTTAATAGAGGTCGGCTTGCATTGTGAAGGAACGGGTTTAGTTGCTTTTATACTCGGCAACATCAATTGACTCACTATCACATAAGTATCTCAATGTCTCTTGCAGTAATAGCGAATAGTGTATCTCATTTTAAAAATATAGTGAAATTATATCAGGTTTGAATTTGGGCAAATGAGTATTGAGATTTCTGTGAGGTGTGGTGTAAGCCATAAGACATTTTGAGATATATGCCTCATAATTAAATTATTAAATTGATAAAAGATATGAAATAATAAGTGATATATTAACATCAAAATAATATATTAAAGTAAGATCATAAAAAGTCAAAGTAAGATCATTAAAAGTCATACAATGATACGACCATTGTTAAATAAATAGTCTCTCTTAATTCAACACAAACAACTAGTACAACAAGAAGCTTTTATCCCATTGTGAGGTTGGCTACATTTACCCGACCATACCTAGGATGAAGATGAAGAGGAGGCCGAAGGAAACGCTGCAGAAGTCAAAGGGGGGTTTGTCGTTTCGTTTCCAAGAGAAGAAAAAGAGCTTGCTTTGTCGGTTGGAGTCGAAGAGGCCAAATGGAAGAGGCTTTGCGTCATGGAAGCCGAAGGGTTGGGGTCGTCCGTCTCTTGCTTCGCCTCTATAAATTAGAGAAGAGATAGAGGGGAGAGAGAGAGAGAGAGAGAGAGAGAGAGAGAGAGAGAGAGAGAGAGGGCTTGGAAGTGAGCAAGTAGTGGCTAGGGCTTGGAGAAAGAACAAGAGGCGAGTTTCCTATTTTTTTATCTAAATTAAAATTTAGATTAATGTTATTATAGGTATACATGAGTTAATTAATATGAATCTAATATGTAGTTTAAAAGGACAAGATTATATTTTATATTAAATTTAAAATATCTTAAAAAATAATCAAATTTAATTATAAGCTTAATTGCAAATATTTAGAAAGAGTGCAAGTTTGAGAGATTTCAATTTAATTTATTAATTCTAAAAGGAATGGATTAAAAATATATTTATATATTTTTGTTATCAAAATAAGAGTATTTAATTAATTAAATTAAGAAATTATTAAATATTAAAGTTTATAACAAATTATTATTTATATTTCAATAAGAATACAAGGAAAATAAAATTTATTCTTAAATTAATACAATTAAATATGATGACTATATATTAGTAGAGAGAGGAAAAGAGCACTTTATGTAGTAAATTATGAGAGTTAAATAAGATATAAATTTTTTTAATGTTAATTAAGATAATTAATAAGTAATAAAGAAATTATAGTTTAAATAAATATATAAAGAGAGAATAAATATTTTAAAATTTAAGAAATATGAAATTTGAGAGTGAGAGCATAGGAGATATTTCTTTTAATTAAATTATTAAAGCGGATATGTTAAGTTTAAATGAGAAATTATTAATATAAATTAAATCATAGTTTATATATAATTATTAAAAAGAGGATAACAAATTATCTTATTTAAACATAAGAACTATTTAAGTATAATTAATAATTAATTAGAGAAAGAGATGATTATATATAAGTTAAAATAAACCTTTGAAAATATGTATTATTATAGATATCATTTTATTGATGTCAGAGTAAAGAAATTAAGAGCAAGTAATCCTAATCAAGATGAGTATGCATGTTTCTATATTATGATAATTGTGTTGCTATTAATTACATTTTTATTTGCAATTGATTTTATCTACAATGCAAATGATCTATATCTCACATATTGAATAATTTATCTTACTTTATTGCATAAAGCATAAATTAATGAATTGATTAGATACATGTAATTGCATGTGCATGTTGAATTGATGGAGTCCACCCCCTTATAGTACTGGCTGGGGACGCAATGTACCCATGCACGTTAATGGAAAAGGTTATGGAAATGAAAAAGGAAAAATGAATACATTTATTGGTACTAAATTAGACGATGACTTATGTGACAGTTGTATTATTAAGAAAGGATAAATATACGATATATTTGACAGATATAATGTATGCACATTTTGATATGAAATGATTAAATAGACTTATGTTATGTTATAGAATAATTATGCATATTGTTCTTAGTGCCTTGAATTACTATAATTTTAGAAGCATGCTTTACTCACTGAATTTTGTTTTGACTCATTCTTCATGTTGGAAATTATTTTTCAGGTATAATTTTGCATAATCAAAATGAATAGAAGAGGTGAAGATGTATACTATAGGCAAAACACTCCAAATGAAAGGTATTTATGATATTTTGTTTTAAATTAAGAGGTTTTAGCGGCTCTTTTAGTTTTGAGATTGTTTTAGAAATTTAATCTACCATCCGACTTTCTGTTCCCGCTTTGTTAAGTCGAGCCTCTGGGCCAGGTCGTAACAAAATTGGTATCAGAGCAAGGTTAGGAGTATCTTAGAAAAGTGAATCATAATGAAAGAGCCATAAGAATGATTTATGAACTTATTTAAGAATATTAAATATTTGATTAGATATTATAATAAAATTATAAATATATATATCAGGTATAGGATTATGAAGAGGATGTAACCGATAGAAAAATGAAAAGAGAAGTACCACCTAAAGTGTCTGTAAACACCAACACCTTCACCTAGATGATGACGGCTATGACTCAGCTGCTTCAAGAATCAAGATCACAGCATGGTGTTGGAGTTGATAAATATTTGAAGTTATTTCTGGACATGAGACCTCCTTTATTCAAAGGTAATAAGGGACCAATTGAGGCTGAAAATTAGTTACTTCATACAGAGAAATTATCAGATAGCATGTCATGTCCTAATGAGAGGAAAGTGTCACTTGCTACTTTTGCCTTGGATGGAGAAGGAGAAAGGTGGTGGAGATGACAATGTGAAGACAGGTTAGAAGATATTCCAAATACATTTGTTAATTGGGAAGACTTTGTAGAACTTTATAGACAATGATTTATACCTATGTCAGTAAGAAGATAGATGCATGAAAATTTATAAGATTGATTCAAGAAGACAAATCAGGAATGCAATACGAAGCAAAATTCACTACATTATCTAGATATGCCCCACAACTAATTACAACAACAAAAGAAAAATGCTATAGATTCCTATCCGGTCTAAAGGATACAATTAGAAAACCTTTAGTACCTTTGGGAATCGAGGGTTATTCGGTTTTGGTAGAAAGATATATGAGGGTGGAGATTGATTTTCAAATCACTCAGAAGAGAAGAGATCAACGTAAAAGAAAGTGTTAAAGAAGATATCCAAAGCAATCAGACTGAGGGATCAAATGAGAAGAAGCTCAAGTTTAATCCTAGTGGAGCTAGTGGAGTTAGTAATGCAATTGTCAGTAAAGTTATGGAAGCTTGTGCTAAGTGTGGAATATTACATAAGGGTGAATTTTTGACATGTTCCAACACTTGCCATTGGTGCCATCAACCTGGACACATAGTAAAATATTGTCCTACGTTAGGTCAAAGGACTTCTAAAGAAATGAAATCAAGAGAAGCACCATCCCAAAAGAACATGGCAAACAAAAGATGATAGAACCATTAGTTTCACTCCAATACAAAATCAATCCGGGCAGAATGTTCGACCGCGGGTTTATGCTTTGACTCAATAGGAGCCTAATAAATCCATAAATGTTGACAAAGATAGTTGAGATGACTTTATTATCTAATATAGTAACTTGTTATGTTATATCATATATTTTTCTTTATCTAGTTATCTTAGTATGTTATATCAAATGTTTTACTAATTATGTGTCTAATGTGGAAGTTTATGTTGAATGAAATTTAAAATGATATTTTGCTTATGTAACCATAAGAATCATATGTAAATTTTGAGGACAAATTTCTATAAGCAGGGAAGATTGTAATGCCTGACCGTACCTTGGAGGAAGACAAAGAGGAGGCTGAAAGAAACGCCGCAGAAGTCAAAGGGGGTTTTGTCATTTCATTTCCATGAGAAAACGAAGAGATTGTTTCATCGGTTGGAGTTGAAGAGGCTGAATGGAAGGGGCTTTTCGTCATGGAAGCTGAAGGGTTCAGGCCGTCTGTCTCTTACTTTGCCTCTATAAATTAGAGAAGAGAGAGAGAGAGAGAGAGAGAGAGAGAGAGAGAGAGAGAGAGAGCATGGAATTGAGCAAGTTGCGGCTAGGGCTTAGAGGAAGAACAAGAGGTGAGTTTACTATTTTTTTATCTAAATTAAAATTTCAATTAATGTTATTATAGGTATACATAAGTTAATTAATATGAATCTAATATGTAGTTTAAAAAGACGAGATTATATTTTATATTAAATTTAAAATATCTTAAAAAATAATCAAACGTAATTATAAGCTTAATTGCAAATATATAGAAAGAGTGTATGCTTGAGAGATTTAAAATTAAATTATTAATTTTAAAAGGAATGGATTAAAAATATATTTATATTGTCGAAATAAGAGTATTTAATTAATTAAAGTAAGAAATTATTAAATATAAAGGTTATAGCAAATTATGATTTATATTTCAATAAGAATGCAAGGAAAATCAAATTTATTCTTAAATTAATAAAATTAAATATGATGACTATATATTAGCAGAGAGAGGAAAAGAGCACTTTTTGTAATAAATTATGAGAGTTAAATAAGATATAAAATTTTTTTAATGTTAATTAAGATAATTAATAAGTAATAAAGAAAGTATAGTTTAAATAAATATATAAAGAGAGAATAAATATTTTAAAATTTAAGAAATATAAAATTTGAAAGTGAGAGCATAGGAGATATTTCTTTTAATTAAATAATTTAAGCGGATATGTTAAGTTTAAATGAGAAATTATTGATATAAATTAAATCATAGTTTTTATATAACTATTAAAAAGAGGATAATAAATTCTCTTATTTTAACATAAGAACTATTTAAGTATAATTAATAGTTAATTAGAGAAAGAGATGATTATATATAAGTTAAAATAAACTTTTAAAAATATGTATTATTATAGATACCATTTTATTGAAGTTAGAGCAAGAAAATTAGGAGCAAGTAATCCTAATCAATGTGAGTACGCATGTCTCTATATTATGATAATTGTGTTGTTATTAATTACATTTTTATTTGCAAATAATTTTATCTTACTATTTATTTTATCTACAATGCAAATGTTTTATATCTTACATATTGAATAATTTATCGTACATTATTGCATAAAACATAAATTAATAAATTGATTAGCTACATGTAATTACATATGTATGTTTAATTGATGGAGTCCACCTCTTTATAGTACTGGCTGGGGATGCAATGTACTCATGCACGTTAATGAAAATGGTTATAGAAATGAAAAAGAAAAAATGAGTACATTTATTGGTACTAAATTATATGGTGGCTCATGTGACGATTATATTATTAAGAAAGGATAAATATACGATATATTTGACAGATATGATGTATGCACGTTTTGATATGAAATGATTAAATAAACTTATTTTATGTTATAAAATGATTATGCATATTTTTTCCAATGCTTTGGATTACTGTAAATTTAGAAGTATGCTTTACTCACTAAGTTTAGAAGTATGCTTTACTCACTAAGTTCTATTTTGACTCACTCTTCCTGTTGGAAATTATTTTTCAGGTATACTTTAGTATAATAAAAAAAAAATAGAAGAGGTGAAAACGTATATTGTTGTCCAAACGCTCAAAATGAAAAGTATTTTTGATATTTTGTTTTAAATTTTGAGGTTTTAGCATCTCTTTCAGTTTTAAGATTGTTTTAGAAATTTTATTACTATCTGACCTTCTATTCTCACATCGTTAATTTGAGCCACCAGGCCGGGTTGTGATAAAAGTGGTATCATAGCAAGGTTGGGAGTATCTTAAGCTAATGAGTCATACTTTAAATTTATGGGAGCAAGTTATGGACCGTAGGTTGCGGTGTGATAATAATGTTTATTAAAATCAATTTGGATTCATGTCATGTGGGTCTATTATGGAAGTCATACATTTATTGAGAGGTTTGACGAAGAAATATAGAGAGAATAAGGAGGATCTCTACATATGATATTTTTTGATTTAGAGAAATCATATGATAAAGTTCCAAGAGAAGTGCTATGGAAAGTTCTTGAAAAAAAAGGAGTTAATACTCTTATATTTAAATCATTAAAGATATGTATGCATAAGCTGTGAGACCTCGTTCCCTTACTGTTCCTCTCTGATTTGGATTTTTTCTCTCAGGATCGTCCAGGACGATTTAAGATCGTCCAGGCCGATCGGCACTGTAGAAAATATCGTCCTGAGAATAGTTCTGGGAACCGTCCAGGACGATTTTTCTGGTCTGATCGTCCCGGGACGATTTGGCGATCGGCCGGGCCGATCAGACAAATGATTTAAACAAATCAGCTCGTTTTGATGAGAGAGAAAATATTTTAAAAATCAAAATATCTGTTTTAGAGAGAGAAAGAGAAAGGGAAAAAGAGGAAAATCCTGGTTTTGGAGGCTGCGGAGCGCTTTTCGTTTGACGCTGTTGTTGGGAAAAGTGAAGATCTCATGGTAAGGACTCCGAACCCTATTTCTGTTTTCAAAGATATTGAGTTTTGACCGAGTTATGATTTGTTTTGTGTTTTCGTAGTCGACTTTTCGACGTGATTTGGATTTGGCACAACTTTCACCGCACAACTTTTGATATGTTATAGATATGATTATTGCACACGATTTGACTGTATTCTACGAAGATTTTACCGGTCAGAATTGATTCTACACGATTTTAATCGAATAGAAAATTATCGGGACTTGATTTGATTTGATTTCTATAGGGCAATAGTCTTATATTGATGTTATGGATCTTCGTCTGTAATTTGGAAAGATTTGGAAATTGTGCTTTTTGTAGGATTTTTGTGTAAATTCGACTGACTGCCGTTACGCTGCCCGATTTTCGTAGATTTTCGGATTTACTTGGAATTGATAGATTAGATTGATATGCTATTGATTATTGATATGATTGTTATAGATTGCATAATATTGATTATTGAACTGATTATTGATTGATTATTGATACTGGGAAACACGTATAGCCTGGTTGAACATTGGTTGGAGATTGATATTGACCTGTACAGGATGGTGGGCCGACGGGCTTTCCTTTAAACCATTGATCATTGATATAACGATTGGGAGTCATAAGGAGTTTATAGAAATGCCGACGGGCGAAAAGAGTGACGACTCTTATTGATAGAACCAATGTACGGATCTACAACAGCAATATGGATTCTACAACAGCA